CTTCACCTCTTTGGGCAGCATCTGCTGCGCTGGTGTCTGTCTCTGGGCTGGGCCTGGGCTGCGTTTTCCCGCAACGACCCTGCCTATGACTGGATGGTGACAGATGGCACAGGATAAGACAGGCACTGGATAGGACAGCCCGCGCTGCGAGATGTCCACTTTGTTGGTGCACCCCTCGTCCTAGCCGCACGCGCACGCGCAAGGGCAACATGGGCCTGGCTGGCTGGTCTGTGTTCTGTCCTGTCACGCAAGCTACGAGAGTCCTTGAATTATTATTCACGTATCTGAATATAGCACCCCCGGAGCTGGGGGAGGAGGAGAAGGGCAGCAGCATCAGCGCCGGCGGGACGATTGAGGAGGGGCGTCCAGACTGGAGATGGGCAGAGATGGAGACGTTCAGGGATCTGGGCAAGGACAAGCGACGGAGCCCGGCAGTCTCAGATCCCAGATTGTGCGATTTAAACGGGCTAAGGCTCGTCTTTCTCGAGCAACTCGAGGCGACAATCAGCGACGCGAGGGCTGAGAAAAAAAAACGAATAGTTAAATAAAAGAATGAAAAATAACATGCAAAACAAAACCATCAGGACCTCTGCTAGATCGCTCGTCATCTCCGCTATGCTAGTTGGGGGGGTGTGGGTGTTCCCGTATCTCGCAGACAACAGAGCATGTACCATTTTCCCTCTCTCTTCGACTTCGCCTTCACAGCCTGCCTTCCGTGCTCTCGTGCGCCGGATTTAATCCTGACGTGATGCTGCAAGATGTACCAGAGTGATAGAGCCCAGGACCATGTCCCCTGTCCCGCCTTGCGTCGTGCTGCCTTACCGTGGGAAGCTAAGCTAGCATGGAGGGACACAAGAAAGCGACGGTTCCATGGCACGGGCTGTCACTCTGATTTGCAGGCCTATCCCATCTCCCATCTTCTCATTTCGCGGTACGGCACTCTTCGTCGCACAGGCAAAAAAGTACGAGAGCTATAGCACCGCCGCCGGACGTATTGTGTGTGTGCCCCCTCCCCTTTCCTTTTCGACGATGTTAGACTGCATGATAACGCGCTGCGTCCTGCCGAGGCCGCCTCCCGGGAACGTGTCAGGCCAGTGCCAGTGCCGTAATGGAAGACAAACATCCAGGGACAGAGACATCGAGACCGGTGACAGGTAGCAGACAGCAGAGACAAGACACAGACGACGCCAGAGCACGGAGGCCGCAAGTGGGTAAGGGATCCATGGCTACGACCGCAACAGCACATCACTTTGGGAAATTCACCCCAGCTGCTTGACGTCTGTGGATTTTGATCTCTTCTTTCCTTCTGGAGAACCAGGTGGGAATATCAGTGGCGGAAAAGGCAGAGCTAAAGAAATGTTCGGTGGGAAATGGAGCACCAGCTGAAGATGAAGTTCCTGCGAGAGGCCAGAACGAGAACGAACAGCCAGGCGCGCATGTGAATGAAGTACACGGCCGGGGTCTCCAGCAGATCTCTGATTAGGTGGTTTCGGGATCCGCAACATCACTCTCCACTTGTGCAGGAGAGGGTGTGAGGCGAGTCCAGCGTTGTCCAACAGCTGTCATCGGGTCCCCGTCCTCCAAGAGATGACGAGCTGTACGGAGAATTTACGTAGCAGTGGGCTCTTTCGTATGCTGAGTTGTCGCGCTGTTGATCCCTCAACTGCCTTGGTTCGAATTCAAGACTCGCCGGCTTAGTTGAATTTGGGTTGGCCTTCAATTTGCAATACGGGCTGTGCAAAAAAGAAGCACCAGCGAAGACGAAAAAGCAAGAAACCACGTATGATGCCGCAGACTAGAAGCTCGGCGAAGCTCGCAACCCTGGCAACGCCGTGCGGGATCGAAGCAAATTGGCATTGCCTGTGCCGTGGCCTTGCAGAATTGAGGGAGCAGACGAAGAAGATAAAAACGCCACCATCGTCAAGACTCTGTCGGCCCGTCGCGTATCCTGGTGAAGCATGCCGTGTGCCACCAGTGGATAACGCCGAGATACATTGTTCCTCTGCAATGCGTGCGGATGTGGCTTGAGCCTTTCCTTGCCGGCCCCCCTTCCCATGCTGCTTGCTTCAGAGTTTCCAAACACAGAGAATGCAAGGAGTCCTTCAATTTTCTTTCTTTCTCGAACATCCTCTAACATTCGATATGGGGTAAAGAAAACCGTTTGCCGACCAGGTTCGGGGTCCGTGGTGGAACCGGTGCGGCCCAGCACTTTGAAGATCCCCCCTTCCCTATGCTGTATCTGGAACTATTTTCAAGACTTTTGAAACGTCGACGACGGGAGCTCTTGACCGCAAGGCTTTCGTCGCGGCAGACTTTCTTCTGCTGCCTCCCTCAGCCACGGCGGAAACCAAACCACACTCCCTAGCTTAGCTCCCCCAAAGCTCCAGAGAGGTATCCGCAGAAGCATTGGGCAGCTGAGGGCCCTGATCTTCCTTGACATGAGACGACAGTGCCATGGGTGAGAACGTCAATTCACGAGTGGTCGTCTGCGTACTCTCTGCTCTCTCCAGTGTTCTCGAACGCGGTTGTCTCAAAGCCATCGGGAACGGGGCCGAAGAGGGAGGAAGAAAGGACATCGGGAAGGGGGGGCCTCGTCTATCAAGTTGCATAAGACGGCACTCGACATCGCGAAAACTGTTCAAGTCTAGCAACTGATTGCGACACTTGGCAAAGGAATATGTAAACAAAACCCCGAACAGAGTTCAAATAGGTCGTGTCACTCCAAAACGGAAGGTTACACTACAAGGGCACCCTACCACAGGGCAGCACCAAAATTAAACACGCCTCGCAGCGAACCACGCCCAGAAAAATGCACGAATAGGTTAAAAAAGTTTAAAAAACTTCTTTGCCCACAATCTCTCGTTACGAAAGAGCAACTCGACACGATGACGAAAGGGGAGACGGGGGGAGCCTGGAGGCCGGCGCCACGGAGTGCCCGGCAAGGATTTCCCATAGCTTGCTGAAACGAGATTCCCATTTCCCGCCTTTGCATGTTGGACCACTTTCTTCATGTTCCAAAAAGTCGTCCGTGGAAAGATTTCTCTGACGCGAGGTTACGAAACCTCGACTGCCGACTGGTCGAAACCAGGGGGATAATGGCCGCGGCTTCCAGAGGGACAGGCCTTTAATCTAATCCTAGGCTTGTTATTATAAGCCCCCAAAACGAACGAGGGGGTTGTTGCTCTGAGGTGCGTCTGGTGTGGTGTATGGATGGGTGGTCCTGCGTGCGGCTGGACGCTTAAGCCAACCCACTTCCCGTCGACGGTCTGTCGCGCCACGGTTCTTGGTGCCAAAACGTGGTGTTCGGTGAAGAGATGTCGTTCGTGCCTTCGGGGAGTGAACGACAGGAGGCGAACGGACCAGTTTGATGTTTTTGATGGACGAGTCCGTCTCGAAGCAAGGACTGGCCCAGAAGATCTCGGGGAAAGAAGCCGGTGGCTTTGTTTACACCCTATTTCAAGCCGGCCAGTCCGGACCTCGTTTTCTCGTTTTCTGGACCTTTTTGACTTTTGGCTTAGGTTTGCAATTCATCTTATATTCATATTCGTCCAACAGCGTCGAAAAGCTAACCTAGCCAAGCAAGCGGCCCGGACGTCGCGACCGCACCCGCCCTGCCGACCCGGCTGGATTCCCGGGCCTAAATGCCATGGTCATGAATTTGTAATTTCAGGGTATCATTCGTGCCTTCGCGCCGCCCATCGACAGCCCATTTCGATTCGCCTGCCTGCAGCAATCTTATACGCATGTGTGTTTGTGCGTGCCGCAGAGCTTTCCGTCTTAGTCTTCGCCGACCTCCTGCACCGTAGGTAATCTTGGAGATGCCCTCATCTTCCGGCCTGCCCAATGGATTGCCCTGCCCGCTAATCTGCATGCATGCATGAAGCGCACTTCGCTCGATGTGGTCAAGAGGAAGGGGCCTCGTGAAACGCCAGCTGAGGTCGTTCGTGATGACTGAGTAGGCCTCTCAAGCAGGCGGTGTGTCGTGGACAACGATAAGGAGGTACTTTGGATCCGGCACAATGACCAGCTCCTGCTTCTTCGTCCGTAGTCTCAACAGCTTCAGCTCGTCCTACCCCCCGTACGTCAGCGCCAGCTCTCCCACCAAATTTGTAAGGTTGCGCTCGAGTCTTGGGGATTGGGTGTCCTCACCTCTGTATCCAGGTCCAACACCAGCGTGCCCGACGCATTAACCCAGTTCCATACCTTGGCCGCAAAGTCTTCCAGACCTTGAGGCTGATCGCCTTCGCCTTCGCCATTCTGCTGCTGCTGCGCAGCCGCGCCCTCCCCTGAGAAGGAGCCGCCGCTCGGCAGCGCTGAGGCGTTGAAGGACAGCTGTCCCGTCGTGCGGAGGATCGCGCCGGTGGCTCGGTCGAGGATGACGACGGCCTTGACGCCGGGCTTCTTGGAGAGTCGGCTGAGAGTCTCGTCGAGGGCATCGGGGCCGTTGGTCTTTGTGTTGCACGCGCGCAAAGGGCACGCTGGATGTCAGCTATGACGACATTGGCAGAGGGGTCTCGAGGTCGCTCACGGGTACTGATTCGGCCATTTCGTGTGTGCTGCGACGGAGGCGGGGTAGGTGGCCAAAGTGGTGTTGCTCGTCAGCCCGCCGTACTTGAGGAAGTGAGGTCCAAGGTGATTGTGTGACTCGTTCTATCGTAAACGGCCGGTTCCGTAGAGCTCGGGTGTTTGGTCCGTAAGGCTGGATCAGCTTAAGCTCGGTCGGTGCTGTTGTACCTTACTGCTGCTAGGATTCACTGGGTAACAGCGTACCAACGCCCTGGTGGGGCCGAGCGCCGCTCAAATTCTGCCGTTTCTGACCGCTGAAATTTTCTGGCACCCGTTCTGGCAGGGGTCTCTGATTGCTGTGACATGCTGCTCTCATGTGAAAATCTCAGTTAAAAGATATCAGATACGGTTTTGGGATTTCTTACGCTTGACCGAAGGCGACATCATCACCGAAATATTTCAATAGTCTTTAATTATTCACATACACAACCATCATGGGTTCCAGCACGAGGAAAAAGAACCAAAAGGCCAAGGACTTTGCGGTATGAGAATCCATTGAGGCGTGGATGGACCACCTTCAACCGTATCATGCCTCTGAAGCGTTACTGACAGCATGGCATAGAAACCAAAGTTCAAGGTTGGCAAGACCAAGGCCAAGCCGGCCAACTTCACAGACACCAGCTTCAAGGCTAAGTCCATTGTGATGGGCCAGCAGTCCCTCGCAGAAGAAGCCCCTGACGTCGGAACACAATTCAAACACCACCTCTCCCTCGCATCAACCTCAAGATCAGACAAGGTGCGCAAAGAAGCGCTGGCACATCTCACGAGCCAGGTGGGCTTTGGCAACAACCCCGTCGGCACCGCGACCATTCTCGGCAAACTCCTGCCCCTCATCTCTGACGCCTCTGGTCCCGTCCGCAGCCAACTACTCAAGCTCTTCCGTGAACTCCCAGAAACCGAAGTCAGGCATCACGCCGAGAAGTGCATCATGTACATTCGCGCCGGCATGACGCATCTTTCTGCCGACATCAGCAACGATTCCCTGTCAGTATTGGAGTGGCTTCTTGATGTTGCGGAGGACGAGACCGTCAGCTGTCCCGGCGGCTGGGTTAAGACGCTCAACAGCTTCTGCGCGCTGATGGGATGGTCCGTAAAGTCGAGTACCGGGTGGACGAGTGCGCCAAAGACCGGCCTTAGATCCAAAGACTCGCAATCGCACGCAAGGCAAGTTGGAGTGCTGGGGAGGTTTCTCAAGGCAGGGCTCAAGCCAGAGGTTGCGGCGCCGAGTAACCCGAACGCCCTCTACGACAACATGTACCGCATCCCACGGGCACCAAATCCATTTGCGTATCTCAACCTATTCGGGACTCGCAGAGACGAAGAGGCGGAGATGTACAACGATCGCGAGTCTCGACAGCGTGTTTTTCATAAGAGGTTCTCGGAATCCTTCAGCCGCGGTATTGAGCAGGCAAAGAAGGAGGGCGGTGCGAGTGGTCGATCTGCCATCACTTTAGAGAAATCATTGAAGGAGGATATGGAGGGATATGAGCCTACTTCCGCCGTTGACCCTCAGGATTTGCTGGATTTATGGTAAGGGGCATAGGAGCATTCGACCGATGAAAGGCTTCCCTAAAGTCAGGATCACAAACAGAAGAGATTCCGTCGTCATCGTGGAACACCGTCAGCCATTCCGCAACTCCTTAGAGCGACAGTTTGGCCCCAGGTGTCAAGCAGCGTGTGGTCCGAAGCAGGTATATACGCCATACGTTGGAACACGTGCTGTCGCACATGCGGCCCAAGATAAAGGCCGGAGACTCAACCTAAGCTTCCACAAGATACCCGATAGATACGCCTATGAACAGACAGCGTTTGATAGATGTGGATGGATACATCAATGATACCCGCTCACCTCGGTGAGAATTCCGTTTCTATGTTTCTGTGCGTCTGACCCGGGCTTTGTTGAACATGAAGCAGCCTACCCCCTGTTAAATGTCTTTCTTTTTGGTCGTCAAACAGAGCCTCTCGTCTCTTTCTGCTGTGGTGACATGCAGGCTGCATGCTGGGTACGGCAAGATGCACCATGCAGTTCGGTTTGCCCTGAGCCCTCTTCTTGAAAAGTTCCAACCCTCTGGCGTTCGAGGAGATCTCGTCAAGTTCAGTAGTTGTGGACCAAGACGTGGGCTACCAAGTGATATGAGACTGACGTATAGGCTGGTCGTATCCAGTGGTGAAGAGTCATGAGGCTGACTGGCCAGTGACATTAGATCTCGAGTTCTCACGACAGGTCTCGACCAAGACCACCTCCCTCAGGCAGGACCACATCCTGCCTGTGCCTTGGGTCCTCCTTCCTTCCACATGACGCCCATGACGACTGCCCTTCGGCCCTCTTTCACTCTTGCCCTGTTGATTGCCGCCTACCTGCCTGCCTGTCTCGACGCGACGACCCTCGGGCCACCCGCCTTGCCGCACGCCCTCCCTCCCTCCGATATTTAATTTCTCCCCTCCTCCAAGATCCAGACTTCTTTCTCTTTTCTTCTCTCCACACAACACAGCCTTTCGAGACGGAAGGTTCGCATCAGAAGATTTGCCTGTCTTCAACAACTTCGTCAAGCATCACGAGAGGTAGGTTACCCCCATTTCTTCAGATCACCATCACCATCGCCATCATCACGTCTTCGTCCATCTTGCTGTCATCAGATCAAAAGCTTCACTGGGAATCACTTCGTGATCCTTGGCTTGGGTGCTTCTCGTTTCGCAGTTCATGCCTCTTTCCTCCTGCAGACCTTTCCTGGTTTCCCTCAACCACCCGTATCCCTCCTTCCCAGACCCAACCACACCTCACTTTCCTTGCGCTTCGTTAGGGCGTGGCGTTCTTCCTCCAAAAATACAGTCTCGAGTTCCGTCGCCTGGAAAATTTCGTCTCGCTTCCATCCGACAGCACTCTGCCCTGCCCTTTTCCTTCCCACTTACTTGTCCGCCGAAGCTGCTTCGATCCTTTTTCCCTTTCTCACCCAGCCTTTTCGGTTCTCTCCTCATCAAGTTCATCCTCAAATTGTTCTGTGCGCGTTCTATCCTTCCTCGACTGACAAAAATCATCCAGCCGGAAGGATCTCGTCCAGTCTTGCCTGTGGTCATCAGATCAGTCGCCCTTCACCGCGTTCTTGACCAGCACTCGACCTTGGTAGGTTCAAAAACCAGAAACTTTTCCTTTGCTTCCCACTGCTAACTCCTAATTCTTTCCAGCAACTCCATCGCCATGTCTTTCTCCGTCGGTGAGATGGAGGCGGCGCTGCCTGCTGCCTCTGAGAAGCCTGTCGCCCTTGACGCTGAGGGTAAGGAGTGGTCTAAGCCCGAGACGTACAACTACGAGGAGATGGCCCAGTCAGGCCCGATCGAGAACGGAAACTGGGAGGGCAATGCTGCCATCTACGAGTGGGACGAGGAGTACGGTGAGGTCGGTCCTCAGCACCCCGAGCTTGAGCTCATGCTCTTTGGTGACCCGGCCACTCGCCGTGACCACTCCGGCCTTGACTTCACCGCGTAGGTATCCTTACAAAAAGTCATAGATTGAAGCTGACGTTCCTAGCATCTCCGAAGTTGAGGTTCACCAGGAGGGCGAAATTCGCGTCAACCCCATCGCTTCCTACAAGGATGGCGGTCTTCACCCAGTCATGCTCGAGAACATTAACCTGTGTGGCTACGACGCTCCCACTCCTATTCAGAAGTACACGATCCCGGCCATCCACAAGGGCCTTGATGTCGTTGCCGTCGCGCAGACTGGTTCGTCTTCTACCCTAATGATGGTATCTTCCACACACTGACTCCCTACTCAGGCTCTGGCAAGACCGCCGCCTACTTAGTCCCGATCCTCAACAAGCTCATGGGCAAGGCGAAGAAGCTGGCCGCTCCGCGTCCCAACCCTGCCTCGGTTCAGTTGGGCGAGGCTTCCGTTCGCGCCGAGCCCTTGGTTGTCGTGGTCTGCCCTACTCGTGAGCTTGCCATTCAGATCTTCAACGAGGCCCGCAAGCTGTGCTACCGCACCATGCTTCGTCCTTGCGTCGCTTACGGCGGTGGTCCCATTCGTGACCAGATTCAGCAGCTTGGAAAGGGCTGCGACGTCCTCATCGCGTCTCCTGGTCGCCTTTGCGACTTCATCCAGCGCCCCGACGTCCTTTCTCTGCGCCGTCTGCGCTACATGGTCTTCGACGAGGCCGATGAGATGCTTCACGATGACTGGCGTGAGGAGTTCGACGTCATCATGACCGGTGGTGGTAAGTCTCGCTCTGATCTTATTGTGTGGTCCAAAGTTTGACGCTTTCCACAGAGCAGCAGGAGGGAAACATCAAGTATATGCTGTTCTCCGCCACCTTCCCCAAGGCTCTTCGTGACCTTGCGAAGGAGCATCTCAGCACCTCCTCCAGTGTCCGCATCAGCGTTGGTCGTATCGGCAGCACTCACACCAACATTCTTCAGCGCGTGATCGAGGTCGCTCCTTTCGACAAAAAGTCGAAGCTCAAGGAGCAGATTGAGTCTCTCGCCGCCTGCCGCACCATCATCTTCGTGAACAGCAAGCGTACCGCTGACGAGCTTGACGACTACCTCTTCAACATGGGCTTCCCGTGCACCTCCATGCACAGCGACCGTACCCAGCTGGAGCGTGAGGCTTCTATGCGTGCATTCCGTGCGGGCAAGGCTCCCATTCTCATCGCCACTGGCATCAGCGCTCGTGGAATTGACGTGAAGAATGTCAAGCATGTCATCAACTACGACCTGCCTAGCATGGACCACGGTGGCATCGAGGAGTATACCCACCGCATCGGTAAGACACACTCTGACTGGCATGACCTATTGTATACTGACAAAACATCCAGGTCGCACTGGTCGCATGGGTCAGCGTGGCATTGCTACATCCTTCTACACTGAGCGTGATGAGCCCATTGCCAGCGTTCTGGTCCGTACCCTCATGGAGACCAAGCAGGACATTCCCGAGTTCCTGGAGCCTTTCAAGCCCACTGGCAAGGGTCTTGAGAACCTGAAGTTCGAGACCGAGTCGGACTTTGACCCTGAGGAGGCTGGCATTGCTCACCTCGGTGGTGGCGGCTGGGGTGGCGACGACGCTGGTGGTGACGCTGGCGGTGGCTGGGGTGGTGATGCTGGCGGCGATGCTGGCGGTGATGCTGGCGGCTGGGGTGGCGGCGGCGATGATGCTGGCGGTAACCAGACGACCGAGGCTCCCGCCTGGGGTGCGTCTGCAGGTGGCGATGGCTGGTGATTGGTGTTTGGACATTTCGGTTCGGAAGTTTAGAGGATTTGAAGGTAGCTTGCCGACAGACTATTCGGAATGCTTTGGTGGATTTTTAGACGGCCAAAAGGAATAGGGTCTGGAGGCAACTAATCATAATTTTCTCGCACATGTTTTGTCTGTTGACTTTGGTGATATGTCTGCAGTCATGGTCCTGTTACAAGTTGTCTAAGCTTGAGAACGACCACGGCTCCTAGATTCTATCGAACTGACGTTGACGCCACATCTATCATGCGACCGTATATCTACCTAAATCCACGTTAAGAATTTATGAGGACACCACCTGAAAAGGCACAGTCACGCAAGATGAGACAGCGAGGATTCGAATACAGACCAAACAGCCTTTGATTACCTGGTATTGAACTATGCTTTTCGCCGCCTCTCGCCATATTAATGTGTCTATCTACCGTCTGTCTAAGATGCTCTAAGAATCGTGAATCATACGTCTCCACTCCTGTGCTGTAAATCAAGCATTCTTCATAATGTCCAACAGACCCTTGATCTTGCCAACAAGACCGATAGCGTATCCCACGCCAACGACGCCCCTCGTGAACCTCCAGCTCCGCTCCTGGTCCGGCACTGGATACTTGACGGGGGGCGGGATGGCGGTGCGGACACCCATCCAGCCGAAGCGGTCTGCACAGATACTCTTGACGTTGCATAGGCCCCGCAGGCCCTCCTCGCCGGCGAAACGTCCATAGCCGGAACCGCCGACGCCACCAAAGGGAAGCTGGACGGCATAGGTCGCGCCAAAGTCGTTGATGGCCACCATGCCCGTCTTCAGGCCGTCGACAACGGTGCGGAGGACGGGGTCGTTGTCACCGCCAAAGATCGAGGCACCAAGGCCGAAGTCGGGAGCGTTGGCAACCGACAGGATGGACTCTGCGTCAGGACCGGGCGTGCGCATGATTGTCATGACGGGACCGAAGCACTCCTCGCTGGCAATTTCCATGTCGGGAGTAACGTCAACGAGGAGAGTAGGTGTGAAGTAATGGCCCTTGGGGTGTTCGGGATGGACGTGTCGTTTGCCGCCGGCGAGGAGACGAGCGCCCTGCTTAACGGCGTTGTCGACGAGGGACTCCAGCCGGGTGAAGGAAGCATCCGAGATCATGGCGCCAACATCCGCTGTGGGGCCGAGGCGGAGGGCTTGGACTTTGGGGGCGAGAGTAGCGACGAGTTGTTCATATAGTTTAGGGGTAGCAATGATACGCTCGATGCCAATGCAGTTCTGCCCAGAGGCCTGGAAGGTGCCGCGCATAAGAATCTCAACAATACGCTTCAAGTCCTTTGCAGCGGAGTCGAGAACGATCGACGGATCCTTGCCACCCAGCTCTGCGATGACCGGCGTGAGAGACTTGGCGGCAGAGGCGGCAACCTTGAGGCACACGGGACGAGAGCCGATGAAGGTGATGTGCGAGATCTTGGGGTGGGACGTAATGTGATCCGCGTTGATGGGCCAGCACGCCACGGTCTGAATCAGGGCAGGATCATGTCCATGGGCAATGAGGGCACCTCTGGCAATGCTGGTGAAGTACTGCGAGCTCCATGCCGTCTGCTCAGAGACTTTGACCAAAACGCCGTTGCCCGCAAATATGCTAGAGATGATGGGTCCGATGAGGTTATGGAAAGGGTAGTTCCAGCTCACAAGCGCACCGACAACACCGAGAGGCTCGTACCGCACCTCGTTGCGCTTGTACGCCATCAAGAGGTTTGTGGGCCTCCGCTCAGGGTTGAGCGCCTTCTCGCCGTGGTTCAGCGTCCATGTAAGCTTCTCGACAGTGACCAGAATCTCGCCCAACTGGGCGTCAACCATGGTCTTCCCAGAATCAAGGCAGGCGGCGCGGCAGATGGCCTCCTGGTTATCGAGGACGTGCTGGAGCATGGAACGCAGAACACGGCGGCGTTCGCGGAAGGAGGTGTGCTTCCATTTAGCCTGGGCCGCATGGGCGGCATCGACGGCGCGGTCTATCGCAGCAGGTGTTGAGGGGTTGACGAAGCCGAGGAACTGGCCGGTGGCCGGGGCGTAACATTGAATTGCAGTGGTTCCGGAGACCTGCAAAACCCCATATCAGCCATGTTCAGGCGCGCTCAACGCGTGGAGTAACCGCGTACCTTGATGTTCGTCTCCTCGACGATTGTATGCTTCTCGGGAAGCTTGGGTGGATCGACTTTGTAGACGATTGCCTTGTCCTCATTCCAGGACTTGGCCAGCTGTAGGAGCCAAATGCTCAAGGCAATTGCGAGTGCCGCGAAGGCATATTGAGGCACGCCGGGTCTGCAAGCAAAGCGTTCAAGTCAGCGGGTGATCCTTCGAGCAGAAAGTGGCGCCATTTGGCGGCCGGTAGCGTACGGAATAGCTTCGACGAAAGAGTTGAGCCTCTCAGCGACCTCGTCCCAAATCTCTGGGTCCATATTGGCGTTGAACTGTGTCAATGGTCACCAATTGGACTCTTGTCGACGAAGGTTGTGAAGCAGCCCACGCGGTGTTAAAGTCGCGGTTGGCCAAGGTAGCTAGCTGACAGCCAGAATATTGGTGGTACTGGCGGACCCTGAATGAACGCCGCATCGGATGTTCTTGGCCAAAAATCAGCAGAGCTCGGGGGAGCTTGCCCCGGTCCAGGGCCCCCGCTGATGTGGATATGATTTGGCAGGGGCATGGCGTTCGGTGCAGGGGTGCCGCATCTCAGCATCGTACCTGCGTGCGGTGTGCGGGGGAACCACGTTTACTGGCTGTTTGTAACACCACGAGTAGGAAAGAAGAAACATGAGACTGGACAGAATACAGGGAGGAAATGTTTCCCAAGTGGCTAAAGAGCTCTGAAGTGCAGATGCTCTTCGCGCACGGAAGCAGGCAGGGCGGAAACAACTACGAGGAAGACAAGGCGTGCAGGAGGCAGAGAAAACAGACATCGCTGCCTGTAGCAAGGCGACATTTTATTACGGTCTGTAATAGGTGCTGTATTAATGTTGTGGCTGCTTCTGGAATTGGGCCGAGCTAATTTTATACCCTTCTTCGAGGCCAAGACCAAATCCAGTCGGCTGTGTCTGAGGTCGTCACATGGGGATAGGCATTTTCGGAAATATCCTGTTTTAACAATTCAAATAATGGCTGGCTTCTGTCCGCTGCTCATCTCCAAGCTACCCCTGAGGTATTATGTGGTTTTCGCTTCTTTTTCCTCCTCCTCCTCCAGTTTGCGTGCGTATGTACAAAAGGCGTCAGCAGCTGGAGCTGCGCGCCATCACTTTCTTTGGCCCGCCCAGACAAAACGCCATGGGGCCGGCCTAAGGAGAGATTCCAGCACCTTCAAACGGACTGGTTCCTGGCGCCCCCTCTCAAATCTAGGATGCACACCAAACTCGTACAAAACAATGCCATCCGAGTCTTCCTTTCCTTTGCCCTCCTTTGAACGCCGTCGCCATAGGAAAACCCTATAGAATGAGAAAAAGAAAGCCGAAAACGAATTCCGCGAAACCAATGAAAGAGCAGAGGCTGGGGTGGGGGTGAAAGCATCGGGTGTCGCTGGTACGCGACGGTGGGAACGTCGTAGATCGCTCATGCAGATCGTGATGCATCGGGGGATATCAACAAAACAGCAAAGAAACAAGGCCCTATTCGGAAGGGCATGGTGGATGGTATAATACAAGGAGTAACTTCGGTCGGTGGTTGTCAAGTCGAGGTGTCTATATGTTGTTGCTCTTTGTCAACGACAGACCTCTGAGCCGTCTCGGATGGAATCGGTCGCTGTATGATTGGCTAGACTCTATTCGTGAGAGACGAGCCGCCGAGGTGAAATCGCTGCTCGCCTCGAAGCTCGCCCGGGTGCGATCCATCGAAGATCGCATTCGGTCGTAGGACGGTCGGGCTCGATCGTAAGAGGGGCGTACTCGATCGAATGAGGGCCGCATCGGTGGTGTCATATCGAGCGATTGCGTTTGCACCATGTCCATCGACTGCCGATGACCCGTGTAATTGGTCCCGTCGCTTCCGTTTTGACTCCGTGGGTTGTGCGTCGTGTGTGTTGCAACTGAAGGTGGATAGATTGGCCTTCTGTCTTCATCCACACTGGCGTAGTGTATGTGCTTACCCTTACGCGAGCTAACTGACGAGTTTGACGGCGTCTTGCTCGCCGCTTCTTCTCCAACAACCGTTGCCTCGTCTCCCTGTGTGAGACGGGAGAACTTGCCTTGCCGCTCTTGCTCACGGATGATGTCGACGTCGTAAGGGAAGTAGACCTTCTGGATCGCCTTGATCGCGAATCGGGGGAACAGGCAGATGACGGGAACGATGAAGAAGACTGCCCAGAAGGACGCCTGAGCATAGATCTGGGGGGCAGCCTGATAGAAGAACATCGATGACTCCGTGGCGGTGTAGATGCCAGTGACGATAAAGATCATCAAGTCACTGAGAACGACGATAAGGATCATAACCCAATCCCAACGGTAAGTATTCATGATGGTGTAGGCGTTGATTGTGACGACGGCAGGGTGTGCGATATATGCGCCGAGTCTTGTCCGGTCCTCGATGTTCAAGCCGTTCTTGGTGACGAAGCTGGTGCCTACCACCGTGAGGTATGGAATGTAGAATACCATGACAGATTGGTAAACGCCATCAAGCATGTACATCCTGCAAACCTATTAGCACCCTATTAGTGATCTCGCTCATGATGTGACTTACCAGAATTTGGTCTGCGTCCATTCCAAACGCTCAATGCCTCGGCGGTAGAGCTGAGGCACGGCCAGAGAGACCTTGTCTGAAACGTCCTGATCCAACACACCCATAATGACGACCGGAACTGAGGTGAAGAGAAGGTTGAAGGTGAGAATGTAAGTGTACTCGTAGATGTACGTAACATCGAAGTCGCAGTAAATCTGGTACCAGAAGATACCCAAAACCCACACGACGTTCTTGTAGAAGAAGTTGGCGACAGTTTCTCCCAGGCGGCGGTACGACCAACGGCCGTGGACGAGAACCAAGCGTTGAAGGAAGCGGAACTGGGCAATGGCGTAATCCGATGACATAACGGCTTGTCGACCTTCTTCGCCAGCAATACCAACACCCACGTCCGCCTCTTGGATCATGGCGACGTCGTTGGCTCCGTCTCCAATGGACAGTGTCATGACGTTGAGGCCGTGCTTCACCATAGAGACGACGGCGGCCTTCTGGGCAGGGCTCACACGGCAGCAGAGGACTGATCTGCATTGCTTGCAGAGAAGTAGGAATTTCTGCTTCAAAGCATCATGGAGAACCCACTTCAGCGTAAAGCCATCGATGACGAGACCGTGGGTCGGGCCAGGTGGTTCGTGGTTCTTCTTCGCCTTGGCAAGGTCGTCGTCGTCGCCCTTCATGCCGAAGACTTCCAGATACTTGTCGAGCTCCTGTTCAAGTTGACCAAGGAAGTGGTGATCAGGTGTCTCGCCGGTCTCATCCTCCTCAACCTTGAGATGAATCAATTCCATGTCGTTGCTCAAAAGGTTGCATGAGAAGCCGATGTTGATAGCGGTCTCGACCTTGTCGCCAGTGAGAACCCACAGCTTGATACCAGCGTCGCCGAGCAGTTCAATGGTGTCAGGAACACCGTCTTGTAACCTGTCCTCGATCGCCGTGCCTCCAAGCAAGGTCAGATCACGCTCAAGCTGGTCGGCAACCTCCTCCATCTTCTCCTCACGGTTTTCCAAAGCGGATGCCGCAGCGTTATACTCCTTTTGCCACTTTTGATATTGATCCTCGGTGAGCTCACGCTGAGCAATGCAAAGCGTCCGCAGACCCTCGCGGGCGAACATTTCAAGGTGCTCAGCGGTAATCTTACGCAATTCTTGCTGCTCACCTCGCTTGAGGCGCGAGTAGATGATACTGTCCGCACCCTTGCAGATGAGAAGAATGCGGTCGTCGGGCATGCGCACAATGGCACTCATTCGCTTTCTGCTCGAGTTGAATTCGATGGTGTTAAGAATAGGATAGTGACGATCGACGCCCATCACATTGAGATTGATGCCCTCGGAGGTACTGCCCAAAACGGTGAAGCCCATGTCGCGAGCCGTGGCGACCAGAGCGGCCTCATCGGGAGACTGAGCCTTAAAAATCATTTTCGGAGGTGAACCGGGTACCTTTTCGGCGATGACAGTGTGGCAAAGGGCGAGGCAGAGCATAAAGTGTTCGTTGGCCATCTGTTGCTCTTCTCCCGAGTCGCCGGCCAGGTCGGAAACGTAGTCAGGAGCGATAAATGTAACATCGTCGTCGTGCAAGTACGGGTTGTCGTGGAGGTTCCTGAGACTGTCGACAGCTCGGATTTTGGCGTCCGCAATCTCGGCTCGAGCTTCAGCAGCCTGCTTTTCCACATCTACGCCCAATCGTTTTTGCATTCCAGCCTGTGCCTCTGTGTATGCCTCTCCATATGGCTGGCCATTGATAGTTGCCTTCTTGAATTCCATGACATTCTGGGTCAGCGTGCCAGTCTTGTCGGAAAAGATGTATTCGATCTGGCCAACATCGTCGGAAATATTCCAAGACTTCGGAATGCAGGGTTGGTCGAGCTTCTCATAATACATCTCGATGTCGCTGTAGATAAAGATAGCCTGGAGTAGTCGGACAATTTCGAGGGTGATGTAGAGAGCGATAGGAATCAGGTTCTGGAACACAATGATGGCGGCGAAGAAGGTAATGAAGCCCGACATGGGCGCACTGCCTCCTATGGATCCGAAGTCGAAGAAATACAAAGAGGCGTCGGTCTTTGCCCAGGCAGCACCGTTGATAAGGGCCGACAACAAACACAAGAGGAACAAGATGCCGAAGTTGCAAATGACGTTGAAGTTCATCTCGCGCGCAATTCTGGGGCGCTTACTGGGTGTAATACCAGAATTGATCATGATCTTGGTGTCGTGTCCCGTGAAAACGACGACGCCGAGGGCCCATTCGGTGTTCCTCAAATTGCATCCTCGAAGAAGCATGTTGTCAATGGTCATGGGCTCGGTCATGAGCTCGGGTTCCGTGTCACCGTCGAAGGTCTGATGCCATCTGATAGCACCGTTGTACTTGTAAAGGTTAGGTTGAGGAGGCTCGCTCTCGATCCAGAATTGGGCCCGTTCACAGTCGCGGGCGTGCTTGAGCGACTTGCCGCAACGAAGTGCCTGTCGAACCTTGAGGTTGGTCTCACCATCGAGGTTTTTGGTCTCGACGTAACAGGCTCCGTCGGGGTCCGAGGTTGACAAAACGATGATGTCGGCGGGAAGTTCATCGTCGTTGTAAATTCTCACGAAATCTCCGACCCTGAGGTCCTTCCAAGCGTCCTTGTGGAATCGAGCTTCGCCCTTTGTGGGCAGATTACGGTTCAAAACATCGCCCTTGCGTTGCATCATCTCCCTCGCTCGAAGGTGGTCCTCGGGCTTCGGTACGTCGAGATTTTGGCGCGGCTGAGGAGAAGGAACAGGCGTCATTTGGATGTCCTCCCTAGCAGAAACGAAGGAATCCCGAGCGGATCTGGGTGAGTGGTAGGAATCGCGTGGTGCGTGGGTTTCGATCGATGGTCGTGGCGCGTCTGCTGATGCTTGCGGAGCTCTGCGTCTCGCCATTTCCTCCCTCGCCTTCTTGGACCAGAGACTCTCGATAGTGTGCCAGATCATGCCGAAGAAACGAGAATTGGCCTTCTTGATGCGTCGCCACAGAGAAATGTTGTCCTCCTCCACGTTGACGTTGTCCCATCCTCGCAGACGGTGGACGGGAGCGTTATTGAGCTCGATATCGAGTGCGGTTCGACGGTAGTCTTCAATTGCATCTTTGATTGCAGTGACGGTGACGATGAAAATCAAGGGCACCGCGCTAAGGCCTGGGTTTTCACCTCCGAAGATGGGGAAGAACTAGGAGAGGTTGGAAACCGTTCAGCGTACACAAGAGAGGAGAGAGCCTCGAATCTGACTTACCACCAAGATAACGAGGAAAAGGAAAAAAACGTTGGCAATGTTTTGAAACTGGAACCACAAGTTTTTCGGAACAAAGCTAAGGGGTGTATACTTGGCGGTGCGAATCTTGTTCCTCGTGAAGTGCTGTGAGGGATGGCCCTCCTCATCCTTGAGTTCCGGGGGCAAAGGGAGGTTGAAGAATAATTTACGACCGCCATGGCCGTCGTCCTGCTCGGCAGCCGTGTGATCTGTCTGTAACGAGTCGCCGCCGCCTGAGCTGCGACTCTTTTCACTGTTCTTCTTCTTGTGGTGGGCGCGGTTCATTAGAGAGAGCCTCTTCTTGCTACTGCTCTTGATCGTCATTTTGCGAGTAGCCCATCTCGTGCGCAGGGTGGGATTCTCGGGATCGGGCGGAGGAGGACCTGCTTCGCCGTTGACGGATGCCATCGTGGCCTCGTTGTGTGCGGGCGAGAAGCCCGATCAACCCGAGTTGTCCTCCAGGATGGCCTCGTCCGGCGGCAACGTTGGTCCCGATTGGGGAGGGGGACTCGGTGATGGTGCGGCAGTCCAGATCGGGTTGACTGCAGTTCGAAGGGCGAAATTAAATACGGTTGATGATGCCTAGGACGTTGTGAGAGGAAAACGAGTGACCGTGGATATTCAGCGTAACGTCGTCGTCGTTGTCCGTCCGAGGTTGGGTGTTGTGGTGTTGGTTGAAGAGAGCGTGGTTCGTGCGAGGGAGTAGCAGAATTGGAAGGGAGTGGTCGGAAGGGGGCAAGAATTATTTTGGCAGAAGGGGCCGGGAGGCGCTGTCGCGGTGTTTGATGACAGCGTTACCCAAAAACCCGCTGAGAGGGGGTGTGTGCTGGGTACTGGGGGGAGGGACTGGGAGCGGTGTTATGCTGGGGGGGGAAGAGGGGAGGGGGGGATGAGGTATGTACCCCGAGTCACCCTTTACAGTCTACGGCGTACAGAGGAGCAGCAGTGTGCAGCGGTTGGGCGGTGCTTGGGGTGAGAGGATGAAAGTTATCCAAGGCTGGATAAAATGCGCCAAGGAGATACATATGGGTATCTCGCTCTTACTTAAGGCGCAGGCATACATAAGGTACCTACCTACACACACTACTTTCTAGACACCCACGCACATACGCAGTACACTTGGCAAGGGGGAAGGAAGCGGGACGGGAGGTGCGGTGCCTTAGGTAGTTGGCAAGCGGTACGTATCGTGCAGCTACCTACCTAGGAAAAGGACAGGGTACTTGGAAGGAGTGTGGCGGTGGAAGTATCTCGCCCTACCGTTAGGTGGCAGTCTGTAGCAGAAACACCCTAACCAGGTACGGTCCTTGAGCACCTCAGATCAGGTACCTGTCTTGTAAATTGGTTCCTGTCTGCCTACCTCCGAACTGTCGTCTGGCTCGGCGGTGCTTTTTCTTCCCATCCCTCTCTGCGAGGCTGTCCGGCCCATCGTGGACTCGTGGCAGAACAGCTGAGGTCCACCGTCCACGTTTCCAGCAGAGTCTTACGAGTTACGGAGAGACAGTGTATCATGGGAAGATTCGTAGGGAGGGGACCGCATCTCGCTCACTAAGTCCGGGAGAGAGGGAGGCCGGCACAGGATGGAGAAAGGGAGGAGGATGACCGACGAGGGAATAGGAATAGGTTCATCGGGGGACGGGAGTCTGACAAGGGCGAGGCCGAGCAGCGGCTTCCGTCCTGCGTGCTGTAGGCAACGCAGGTAGGGTAGAATCAGTCAATCAGAGCCGATGAGAGGACCATGGGCGAGAGAAAGACTGGAGAAAGGAGCGCGAGATGCAACCGAAGCGCGTGCCCGTAGTGTCCGCAAAGCCCGCAGTGCCGCGTCGGCCGGGCGAGTTCCCACCTCTCTCACACCCTTTTTTTTTTTTTCTCGTCCTGCTTTTCAGTCCCGCAGATGGAGTGTTGTAGATGCACCTTAGGAAGAGCAGAGTGTGAGAGAAACAGCTGGTGGTGGTGAGGTGCTAAGTGGTCACGGTAACAATGGATGGAATCCATCGCAGCAAGCAGTAGCGTTCCTGCTGCTCCGGGAGGGAAAATATCCCAGATGGGACGGAGGATGATGCAACGCGCAAGTCACTGGCTGTCACTCGTTCGCGACAAACCCGCCTCCGCGCTGCAAGATGGTCATGCCAGGTACATCGGGGATACGCAGCAGCGACGGTCGTGGAGTGGCCGCCCGCCCGGATGGCCCGGGGACTAGCAAGACTCCACGTCCGACCTTGGACTTTTAGGGGAGGTGGTTGTACAGCGCTAATACTGAGGGCAGGTAGGTGAAGTGCGCATCCCATCCCCATGATCCATCCCGCCCATCCCTTAGTTGTCTCGCCGAACAGATCAAATTTGACTTGACAAGCACGACGTGCCCGCCAACCCGCCCAGAAACCGCCATGAACCCTGGCAAATCGCCTGCAGCACGCAGCTTGCAGAGCGCTAGCGTGTAGGGTAGTCGGACTGGCGGTCGCTCCCAGAGTCCCCAAGTCACCGCTCTGAGTCTGCAGTGCGGTCTGAGGTGGATGACGGATGTGCGCAATTGGTAATCAACCCACGACCCTGTCCTGTCATGGGGGCGCCGGGGGGAGGGGAGGGATGCGATTGCGCCGTGAGAAGTGCCTCATTTTCGCTACCACGGTGACAGCAGAACACCACCAAGTCAAACCAGGATCTTGTTATGGCTGGACCCTTCTGAGGTCGCTTGAGTTGCTGGAGATCCCAAGTTTTTGTTCTAGTCTGGCTCGAGGTGGAAACTGGATGTGCTCGTCTACAACATCGTATCGCTTTGGGGGACGGGACGCCTTGAGTTCGATAATGCCATGGATACCGACGGGAGTATATCTGTCTTTTCTCGTCGCAATAAACTAGCATCGGGCTCCAGAGATTCCCATGCTACCTTACTTTCCACGACCCTTCTCTTGCCTTTCCCTGGATTCACGCCTAGATCCCTTGCCTTTCAAACTGTCGCAGCCACTTGATAATGTGAGTTGTGCATAAGAAACAAGAAAAGAAAGGCAAAGCGACATCCGGTGGTCTTCGTCTGTACCGCGCAGTATGTACAGTACCTACCTACCCTCTGCACCCCAGTCGTCATTCCATTTCGAGCTGTCCCGACCAATCACCGCCGCCAAATCTCCGGCTTCTTCATCTCGCCGCAATGATCCCTGTCGGTCGCCTACAACCTTGCTACTCAGCTGCTTTACAATCAAGCACCACGGATTTCTGCCTCTGTCTCTGCTTGCTGAGCTGATGACGGACAATGGCTCACCGGCAGCTTCAAGCAAAACGCTAGGAGCGAAGCAACACCGGACCAAACCAGCACTGAGCGGACCGTGGCCGTGGCCCCGAGCTTGCAATGCAAGGTCTTACTACTGTTAAAACCAATCAACGCAGTCCGGCGCATCGTCTCGTCAGTCAACGCCCACCCCCGACGTATCGTAAGCCGACGACGAGAGGAACATGACATGGAACAATCACTGCCTCCTCCGTTTTGCCTAACGGTTGAACGACATTCTGCCCAACTGCCGTTGTTAGACCAGTGGTTGCTCACATCAGCACTTTTCCATATTCCTGCCCATTGCGGCAAGTCAGCGCAAAGGAATACAAGCCAGGTACATCATAGGTGCTTACTGCCATCCCCGGGAATATGGCAAATGGACATCATCAACGCGCTAATCCAGCCGATCCGGATCCGAACCAAAAACCAATTCAAATATCTGCGACAAGACTGCCCCGAGGACTCAAGACCAAGGTGCAGGAGCGGATTTCTACTAAGCGTACCGAAGCCGCCCTCGCATCGTAGGTGTCTGAATGCGTTTCTGCAAGCGGCAAACCAAAGCCCTGCATCCTGCTCCTGGGTCTCGGCTGCCGTAGTCTGCATTGCACAACCTTTACCTATCTTTCTCCCTTTCCGGCCGCCGAATAATTCAAAGATGGATGGAAGCAAGAGCCTTTAGGCACGGGGAGCACAAGAGTATGCATGCACGCGATCAATTGGCGGATGGATTAGCATAGACTAACCTCTGCTTACTGACCCAGACCAACCGTGTGCTACCTAGCAACAACATTACATACTGCCCACCACCGAGGCAGATCTCTCCTCTAGTAGAACTGCAACTACAACACTACCGACTGGCACCTTGGGACGGGGTTCACTCCTCATTCCTCTTCGTCCCAGGCGAATCCCAACCTCTAAGCGGCAACTTGTCGAACCTGACCGTCGCAGTGGCCCGCGGCGAGCCAGCGGTCCGGGATACACCCAAACCCAGCTGTTGCGTTACAGTTGTCCACTCCTGCGTTGCACGCCGTGCTGCTTGCTGATCTGAAGATTGAGGCTGAGCCTCGAACCGTGTTTATTACGGGAAGCAATCGTCGTCATCCTGACCCCTTCCAATGCCCATCCGTCGTCCGTCCCAACCCCTATGGCCCTTACACACGCAGGAAAGGGGGGGAGGAACGGTTCCAGACACAAGACGCAGGCGCACACGCGGGCCCTCGCTGGGCCTCGCCAAACATTGGAGAAGCTGGTGTTAAATAACGACCCATACTTGGCCCCCCAAAGGAGAAATTGGCCAAGCATGTGTCAGCCAGGGGAACCCGCGAGAGGTGAGCGAGTCTTCTCCCACCCCAGAGTCGCAGAGTGGCACCCAAGTCTTGTCTTGATGACTGGCGGAGCACGAAACCCGGCGCCTTTTGATGAGCCACCGATGGCCGATGGCCAACTCCAGCCTCTCTCTTCGCAACTTCTCGCTGTGGACTCCGCTCCGTTTCTTGAAATTCGATTGAACCTCAAATAGCAAGCGACCAAGAGGCTCCATCCGTTGGCCCTTGATGGTTCCAAGTGGGAAAGAGAAACGGGTCTCAGGGTTGCATCGTACCCACGGCGCCCGGACAAGATCGCGAATCTTTGCGCCTGTGCCACTAGGGCCTGTTGGGCGTGCGGGATTGAGATGCGCGGTCGACCAAGCCGGTTCCTCACCTGAGCCAAGCTTTCTTTGGTCTGCCGTGTCAAGTTACAGAAGCAACGCTCACGGCCAGACCACCTCCTCTACCGGCGCAATGGGAGGGGGAAACAGCTTGGAGCCGTGTGAGGCTGCAGCATAACAGCATAACAAGACATAAAAAGTCAGACACACAATCGCATTGCAACATTTGCTTGTTTCCCTCCGTTGGCGTGATCTGAGCAATCTGATTCTGAGGCTGAAAAAGATGGCAAAGCGACCCGCGATGAGGCGATCCTATCCAGATCCCCCCTCCCTCCCCCCTCCACTCAACCGTCCTAGCCACACGGGAAGGGCAGCTTGAAACAAATCTACAGCCGCTACTCTGTACAATACACAGTAGAGGGCACTCAGTCAGTCACTCAGCGCCCCTCGGCAGGGCCAACCTTCCCTCCTCACGCTTGCTCTTGGCGGCCACTT